CACTCAGAAACAACCTTTTTTACTTGGGTTTCCTGTCCTATCGCCTGTCTAAAAAAGAGTTAGGTCTATCCTCCACCTCTTCGTTGAGAACATCTCTAATTTGCTAATTTGATATTTTTCATAATAATATTTAAAATCAAATGTCTTAAACATAACACCTTGTGACCAGAATTTAGGATCATAAAAATTATTTCTATACTTAAAGTTACCTGCTACCATAAATTCTTTGGATCGGACACCTTGGACAGTTTTAAGCTCTTTTACAATGAAGGGTTAATTTTCATCACCTGTCTTCTCTCTCAAACATGATGAGATGTCTTCTTCCGTTACATCTGATTTAACCTTATATAAAACAACCACACCTTCGGTTCTTCGCTTTTGAATCTTCCTTGGCTGTCACTTTCCTCTCTTAATTTTTTCGATGATCCCCTTCTTCTTTTCTTTTCTTCCCACATTCCTTCGGTATCTTCAGGTTCACTACTTCTTTCTATATATATGTACTCATTCATTTTAGATGATTGAGCTTGTTTTAGTTCTTCCAAACAGTTTATTTTCTGCATTTCTTCTGCAATTCTGGAGTGGTTTGGCAACGCTGTTGTATTCAAACTATTTGAGGCCTTGTCAACATATGATACCTCTTTTTGTTTAGGAACTTCATTGTGACTTTTTTATTGGCTTCCTGAGGTTTTTTACTTTCATATTGATTTACTTTTTCTTCCAGTAATTGATTATTTCTCTTCAAGAGTGTATTATTTTCCATTAATAATTTGAATTTTTCTTGTTCTCTAAGTAACCTTTTCAGCATTTCGTTTTCAAATGAAAGATTTGAATAAATTTTTCCCGAATGTTGTGTTTTTCAGCAAACAATCCTTGTAACACATATTCTAGTACACTTCAGTTTATTTTTCACTGCACAGAATAAGTGGAATATCTCTCCGATGAGTGTTGATTTTGGTTTTGTTTGAAATGGCTGAAATGGTCAGGACGTTACTTGAACTATAATTAAAATTATCCTATAACACATAAAAAAACTGTTGTAATTGTTATGGCCTATAAAGCAACACACCTTAGTGGTCCATCCTTAAGAGAAGAAGCATTAAATAAAGCAAGAGAAACTCTCCTTAATAATAATTACCCCATCCAGTTCATAAACAAAATACTAAAACAAAGAATTCATAAATATTATAACCAAACAAGAGAAAAACTAATGTTGCTGTACAACGGTTCTCCAAATCACTATCCAAATCCTTGTACAAAACACACCCACAAGTCGGTCATAAGGTAAATCAAAGTGAAAGAGGTCGGAAGTGACTACACGAGAGTGATAGTAAAAAGTACAAAAACGGAAGAATTCAAACTTTATTCTCCAGCTGTCTGTCTGTTCAAAATCTGTTTTTCCGTTAATGATCTGTCCCCCCATACGAACGACAACTCTCAGAAGTTGAGAAATTTGTGCGAGCTAAGGACTAACGAGGTCTTACCTTTTAACGTGTGATTCCTAACATGGTGCAAGCTAGTGCAAGTATTTCTGTTACGTCTAGCTTATATGTTTTTTGTAAAGTTTTCATAGTTCAAATCAAGTAAACTTTTTTTACTATACTAACAATTGAATTATAACTACATGTATTTACGTTTTGCAAAATATTTTTCCCACAATGATAGATTTTAGTTGCCATTAATTTGAATAAAATTTCGAAACACTTAATTCCTAACTTGATATGGGTAGAATTAAACTCAGAGCTTTTATATACATCTGGGTAAACCATCACCTTTGATAACAAGTGTAATGCGACCTATGAATAGCAACAAAGGTCCTATTCCTAACACTCTGTTGTTTACTCTATTACATTATAATTACAGGCAGAAACCAGGTAAATATAAGGTCAGTAGTATATAAATAGGAAGTTGAATGCAATAACTAATAAAAATTATTCATTATTGGCACTCATCTGATAACCTTCATTTGATGACCCCCATTATCGAAGGTGATGGTTCGCCCAGACGCGCGAACATGTGACACATTGTGACACATTGCGATCGCGAGTCGTAGTGATACGGCCCGGGGGTCAGATGACACTGACTTGTCAAATAACTTGTGTGAATGATAAATAAAGTATATACATACATATTTGTAGAGTTTCTCTAATATGCCAATAACAAAAATATGAATTTTCAATAGGATGCAAAGATCCTTAAGATGAGTAAAATTTCACTGAATAAATAATAATTATTATCATTTGTTCTCAACATATTCTTTCGTTATTTTTTAAAATCAAAAGTGTACACTTTTTTTACAATAGGATGGGCTTCATCGCATGGATGAAGATGTTCTCAAATTTTATACAAACCAGTGGGAAGACTACCAGTTCTGCAGCAAGGTGTTGGATGGTGTCTGCTCCTATCTTAATCGTCACTGGGTGAAACGAGAATGCGAGGAAGGAAGAAAAGGCATATATGAAATATACCAACTTGCTCTTGTCACTTGGAGAGATCAGTTGTTCAAACAGCTTCACAAACCAGTAAGTACTAGTAGTAGTAGTAGTTTCAACTTTTAAGTACGATAAAGTACAAATGAAAGTACAATAAACTTAAATTCACCAATCACATTGTAACCCTCAATAAAAACCTAGATTTAGTGTGTTTTGCGGTGAGAATAACTTGAACTTCATAAAATGTTGACAGTCTTTGAAATTTTTAGTTTAGAAACGGTTTGTTTGATCAACAAACATAAACTGATATTTAGCGGCTGCTTCAATAATCATGCCCTTCGTTAAGCTAATGGAATAGTGAACTACTATACTGATTACTGTACTGTAGTTCAGTAATCTGTACAGTAGATTACAAATAAATAAATTTTCAATGGTTAAAATACACCTTTCAAACGCAAATTTTATATCAAAATATTCGTGGAAGTTGCTGGAATCCATCCATATATAAATGAACATTTAATTGTGATTAACCCAAAAAGTTTGTTCAAAGTGAATAATATACAATGATACTTGTGATACACTGTTTGGTGTAGTAATGAATATTACTGGAGGTTTTTCCCAACCACAAACTGTTATTTCAACACCTCGACACGTATTTCGATCACCAAGTGATCAGTTTGATCTCCCTTCTTCAAGAGGAATCAGTTTGATCAGTTTGATCTTCCTTCTTCAAGAGGAAGATCAAACTGATCTTCCTTGTGTTGGGAAAAATACTGCAGTAATGATATACAATGATGAAAAAGTTCTAAAGACAAAAACAATTGTTAAAGGACAAAAACTGTAAATTTTGTTATACCTTTGGTAGTGGCTACTGTGACGATCACCAGGGGCACAATATTTTAATCAATTGCAAAAGAGGATTGCCACTGGTGTTCGAAGGTGATTTCATGTTAAGAGGATTGATACTTTTAATGTTTGTGACAAATTTTCATATTGAGGGGAGTGATTGTTAAGACACAGAATGTCTATTAACTATAAATGTTGTGTCCAAACCTCTGTTCTACACAGTGTTTCAGCATGTACCATGCCAGCTGTGTGGACAGGTTCAAGCACGTTACAATAGAGGGATCTAAAATACTCTGTTCTAAAGAATGTGTAAAGAAAAATAAACAAGAGGCGCTAAGCCTGAAGAAGGACATTGCTCAAAAGGTCTCTTTATTAGAAAAAGTAGATAGGGACTGGGAAAATAAAGTACCTACATAAAGAAATGGAAAAACTGATAATCGATAATCAGGAAAAAAGTACCTACATAAACAGACTAAGAAAAGCTTCACCTGATTTTCAACATTAATTTGCCAGCTTGGAAGAGGGCCTTCTAAGTAAATAAAAAAACCAAGATGATGAAATGGCTAAACTCAAATCAGAAAAAAACAAATAAGCACCGAGTAATAAAAATCACCAGTTTGAATTGGAAGAAACATTAAAGAAAATGTCGAAATTGAATGAGGAATTGGATGAATTGAACAAAATTAATAAAGAAATGTTAACATATGTTTAAAAAAAAATCTGTTCAAAATCTGCTTTTCCGTTAACCACCTGTCGCACTCTTACGAACAACAACCCTCATAAGTCGAAACTTGTGCTAGCTAAGGACTAACGAGGTCTTACCTTTTAACGTGTNCATTACTACACCAAAGGTTCCAAACAGTGCATCATTAGTGTTAGTTGTCATGATGAAGAATAATGCAATATTTCACTTTGTCAAGGGTTAACTGTTCTGTGGCAATATGTCCTGTGAATGAGAAAAAACAAGAAAAAACTAAACATTTTCATATAAGTGCTTCATGAATAAACAACTTTTGTGGTTTTCGTTTCATTTCGAAATACATAGTGGGTTGCTTAGTTTCTGTTTCTTATGAATATACCCATGTTTTGTCTCCTTTTGCAATGTTGTATATAGATTTTGCAGTTCAATGTTTTGACCATTTTTGTATAAAGGTGGAGAAATGAAAGCCAATAAGTTCTTCCACCTGAATATATCATTGTTTTATCATCTGTAACTGGCGTTGACGAGTTCTTCCGGATAGTTAGAAATTAGAAAGTTTTAGAGGAAGATATATGAAGAGCAGGAATTAGAAGACTAATAGGATGAGAGTCCTAAGTCTGGTTTCATTTTCAATTTTTTAGGCTAGGTTAGGTAAGTTTTTAATAATGAAATTTTCAAAAATTGAGTGTCAAGATAACAATGACCGTTTGGAACTGGTGCCAAAAATTTCCATTTAACCACATAAGATAAGTTTGAGGCAATTATTACTTACAATCACCACTTCAGCCCAATGAAAATAATCCTTCTGCGCTTTTGTGTTATCATTCATGATTTTCTGAATTCAAAAATCACTATGTATCTGTATAGTAGGGAGGGTGAGTGTAAGCCCACAGCACTTAGGTCACATGTTGTACATCCTCCCGAGGAGTTGCCCTCCTAGGTCATCGTTCATCCTGTCCTCTCCAGGAAGGTGGGAGACATCTCCTTTATATCGGCAGGTATAGGCTAAGACTCGCCGAACACACACTCTTATTGACGATAACTCGGGGCACTCGCATAGGACATGCCTGACGGTCTCATCTTCCTATTCACACATCTTGCATAGAGGTGTGTCCACTAGCCCCATATTATGGAGAGTTTCCTTAGTTGATAGTGGCCAGTCAGAAATCCTACTGTTAAGCGTAGATTTTTCCTGGTCATCGCCAGATATTTCTTCGGCGCCAGCTTCCCAAGGTCGCCCAGGGTTATCCTGGCAAGATTGCATTCTTTGATTCCATCCCATATCTTTGGGAATTGAGCACGGGTGTAACATTTGGCTAGATCCGCAATTGTCGAAGTCATCAGGCCGTAGGTGCCACTGGGTCCACAAATTCTTAGTCCAGCCGCTTCCTTGGCTAAAGAGTCGGCATTGCGCTTACCTTTACGCCTGTCGTGACCTTTAACCCACCTCAGGATAATGTTATTATCTACCGAGGCTTTGGCTAAATCTTGGTACTCTTTGGTACTCTAGTACTAATCCTGAGGTAACACTTTGTCTGTTCAAGGCTAATAGGGCTTGTCTGCTGTCAGTGCAGATTGTTCTGTTTTTGCCAGAAATTCCTTTCCTGGTTATTTCTTTTATGGCGATTGAGATACCAGCCAGTTCTGTTTGGACCATGCTGGAATTTTTTCCCATTGTCCACTTAATCCTTAGGCTTAGAGATCTGGAGTACATCCCACATCCTGAGCCTTCTTTGGTTTTTGCGCCGTCTATGTATATGCGTATTGCATTTGTAGCATCTGACTCTGTGTTCTGTTTTATTTGTATTTTCTAGGGCTTATTAAACACAAATCTGGGTTCAATTGCATCACCGGTTGCCTGCAGCAGAGGTTGCGCAGTAAGCGCTTCTCGCCATAGGCTCAGTCTCAATTGACCCATTCATACTTCGAGGTTTACACCATCCGTCCGCAATCGTAACATGGCCATTAATGCAACCTCCTTAATGTACAGGTCCAGAGGGGTCAGACCCGTAATGAATTCCATTGCCGCGGTTGGTGTCGTTCTCATGGCTCCTGTGATGTTTAAACAAGCCAGTCGCTGTATTTGATATAGATGGCCGTTGCTTGTAGAACTTTCGGTCCCCATGCAATGGCTCCGAACGTTAACATAGGTTTTATTATTGCAGTGTAGATCCAGGTGACCACACGGGGTGAAAGACCCCATGCGCGTCTCACTATCCTCCGACATTGCTCATAAGTCACTTATGCTCTTTTTGCTCTACTCTGTAGGTGAGAGTTTCACGCATATGCAATTGTGTAGAATCCATTATTGTTGAGGTGATTAATCAGGGTATCCAGAACTATGTTTCAGAGGAGGGGTGATAAGACCTCTCCCTGTGGACATCTCCTCATGACCAGTCCTCTCACTGTGATGTCTTCTACATTGATACTCATTGCTCTACTAGAGAGCATCTTGAGTATCCATTCTCCTACTACCAGGGGTACATTCCAGGAGTGTAGTCGCTGGGTAATTGTTTGAAAGGTTGTTTTATCAAACGATCCCTCGATATCCCAGATACCCAGGGTGGATTCTTTGTTGTCCAATGATCTCTCGATTCTGCCAACCACATGGTGAAGGGCTGAATCAGGAAACCTTCCCGGAGTATATGCATACTGATTTGGATGAAATGAGTTGTGAACTAGTACTTCATCTCTTATGTACCGCTCACGTAGCCTCTCCATAGTTTTTAAGAAGAACGGTGTTAGACTAATTGGTCGGAATGCTTTTGGTGAGGTGTAGTCCATCCTACCTGGTTTGGGTATAAATACTACTCGTACTTCTCTCCACTTACTGGGAAAATACCTCAGAGCTAGAGAGGCTCTGAATATTCCAACCAGGTGCGGCATAAAAATATCCAGCCTCCATTGAACTAGGGCTGGTCTTATACCGTTAGGTTTTGGTGACTTGAAAGGGGAAAAGGCCGATATGGCCCATCTTATCTTGTGCTCGCCAATTACTGCACTAGCAGATTGACAGTCGTATTGTGAGGGTGTTGTTAGTACTTTCGTCCAGTTCGTCGTTCCAGGAAAGACAGAACCTGGGAAGTGAGTTTCCATAAGAATCTCTGCACTCTCTTGGAGGATGCCTCTCTCAGGATGCCGATACTCTTAGAACCCAATACAAACAAAAGAGTAATGAAAGAAATGATTATCATTGAAAAAATCAAAACTCCATAAATAACAGGACCGACATAAACGACATGAATCAAATATTCAATACATTATAACTCATTTCAGCCATTTCAAACAAAACCATGGCAAAATTAATATTTACCTGAAGTATTCAGGAATTTCATGGAAACTTTTTGTATAAATTGGGGAGAATCTTGCAAGAGTAAGCAATGAAGCAGAATATCTTTCATTTCATGAATATTTTCCAGAGTTTTCAGTAATAAATCACCTCTTGTTATTCATTGTATGTATCACCGACACATTCTATCGGTCAACGGCTCTAAAAAGATTGAATAGCCATTATTAGACATTCTACCCAGATATACGTCTTTGTGAATTGAATGGTTCTGGTTTCAGTTTTTTACCATTAGCAGTTTTTTCAATAAAAGCACTGTAATTTTTCAAGTTTTAAGAATGAATTCAATTGTTCAATGGTATTCTTGATCATCCTTCTCGCAATAGCCCTAGAACGTGTCAATGGATCTGTTTGGGTTTCGCCCAAAGAAACAGCGTTCCTTTCCACTGACTAGCGAATGAATTCCATCATATTATTTTTTTTACCTCTTCTATATCTGAATTCAAAACTCAGCTCAAATTGCATGTCACTTAACCATCTCATCGCTCGACATACATTCGGAGATAATTCAACTTATTTTGCAAGAATATGAATTATTTTATATTGTTGTTAATATATACATAATTTTTTGTACTTGATTGTATTCAAAAAAAATTCTTTAAGTGATCCAATATTTCTTCTTCTTCTCATCTTAAACTACTTGTTTAAACTCTATTAACCTCGGTATTTATGACTAAGGAAAAACTAATGTTGCTGTACAACGGTTCTCCAAATCACTATCCAAATCCTTGTACAAAACACACCCACAAGTCGGTCATAAGGTAAATCAAAGTAAAAGAGGTCGGAAGTGACTACACGAGAGTGATAGTAACAAGTACAAAAACGGAAGAATTCAAACTTCATTCTCCAGCTGTCTGTCTGTTCAAAATCTGTTTTTTCGTTAATGATCTGTCCCCCCATACGAACGACAACTCTCAGAAGTTGAGAAATTTGTGCGAGCTAAGGACTATCGAGGTCTTACCTTTTAACGTGTGATTCCTAACATGTTGCAAGCTAGTGCAAGTATTTCTGTTACGTCTAGCTTATATGTTTTTTGTAAAGTTTTCATAGTTCAAATCAAGTAAACTTTTTTTTACTATACTAACAATTGAATTATAACTACATGTATTTACGTTTTGCAAAATATTTTTCCCACAATGATAGATTTTAGTTGCCATTAATTTGAATAAAATTTCGAAACACTTAATTCCTAACTTGATATGGGTAGAATTAAACTCAGAGCTTTTATATACATCTGGGTAAACCATCACCTTTGATAACAAGTGTAATGCGACCTATGAATAGCAACAAAGGTCCTATTCCTAACACTCTGTTGTTTACTCTATTACATTATAATTACAGGCAGAAACCAGGTAAATATAAGGTCAGTAGTATATAAATAGGAAGTTGAATGCAATAACTAATAAAAATTATTCATTATTGGCACTCATCTGATAACCTTCATTTGATGACCCCCATTATCGATAAAATTGACACTGTTTCATTTTTTTGTTTTTCGCCGATTTGTGTAAAACACTCTTTGAAATAAAGATTATTATTGTAAAAATATTCAAAAAATTATCAAAAGTAAAAGTCATCTTGGAAGGGTTGAACTATTGCTCACAATGCGTTCCAATAGTTTGGATATAATAGCACTGATAATGCTAAAAGTTTTGTAATTTTTGATGTTTGCTTTATTCTCAGACTTGAAGATTGGTGTAAGATAACTTGATTTCTATTCTATAGAGGAGTAGTTATAAGATGTAACAGATGGCATCCAATCTGATCTTTGGTATTTCATCTGTATTTAACTTTCAGAATAATTTCCAATTGTTGTTTTTTATTTTATTTGGAGGTTAGCATTTGCTGATTTTTTTTGTGTTTGTTTGTTGAACTAATTGGAATTGCTGCAAATGCTTTTGCAATTTCATTATTGTTTTTATAAATTAAATCTACACAGTACAGGGTAACCTGCAAGCCAAATTATTTCGACTTGATGTCACTGGTAGTTTTTCATAATGAGTGAAATAGTTGTACACCATCTGATTTCTTCCTTCATTACTTTATTATGTTTATTTCAAGTACTTTTGGAATTTCTTGTCGAGTAGTTATGAAAATTTTCAATTCAATAATTTGGGTGTGATGTTTTTGTTTATTTTTAAGTATATTAAAGACCAATTTGCATATCTCAAAAAATATCAGTTCATGAAGTGTAAGAATTTTGAATTATTTTTATACCTTAGCTTTTTCATGTTAGTAACAAGATTCTCTAAATTTTTGTTGAATGAACTCGGAAATGTTGTCATAGTTTTGCGATAAAAGAAATGAAATTTTGAACACTTCAATAAACAATATCGTAAAAAAAACTCCTTTACTCTATTAACGCCAGTTATGTTACCTAGATGATAGTCCTAATCAATACTAGCTAAAAAAAATTTTTGTTTGTTTGTCTATCGAATTATTCTGGTATACTCTCTAATTACAGGTTACCAATGCCGTACTGAAACTTATTGAAAAGGAAAGAAACGGTGAGACAATAAATACTCGTCTGGTATCGGGTGTGATAAACTGTTATGTGGAGTTGGGTCTGAATGAAGAAGAACCAGGTGCGAAAGGTCCCAACTTGAGTGTTTATAAGGACACTTTTGAAATCGTTTTTCTGGAAGATACTGAACGGTTTTATACTAGAGAAAGTACTTCGTTCCTAGCCGAGAATCCGGTCACCGAATATATGAAAAGGGTGAGTTTATTTAACGATTTGGGTACCAATTATTTAATGTTATCCTCAATTTGTTTTGGCAGGCTGAACAACGACTTGTTGAAGAACAAAAAAGAGTTCAAGTGTATTTACACGAAACCACTAGCGAACGTTTGGCAAAAACATGTGAACGGGTTCTTATACAAAAGCATTTGGAACTCTTTCATTCAGAATTTCAGCAGCTACTCGATGATGACAAAGACACAGATTTGGGTAGAATGTATAGCCTTGTCGCGAGGATTCCTGACGGTTTGGGGGAGTTGAGGACACTTCTTGAACAACACATAGCTTCACAAGGACTAGCCGCAGTGGAACGATGCGGGGAGAGTGCACATAATGTAAGAGGATTTTTCAATTGCAAAACGTACAGACTCGAACTTGTTATTTTATTTGTAGGATCCAAAAATATATGTCAACACAATTCTAGAAGTCCACAAAAAATACAATGCTTTAGTGTTGGTAGCTTTTAGCAACGATAGTGGATTTGTAGCAGCACTGGATAAGGCATGTGGCCGATTTATAAATGCAAATGCCGTAACTAGGCAAGCAAATTCAAGCAGCAAGTCCCCTGAGCTGCTTGCAAAATACTGTGATCTTTTACTGAAAAAATCAAATAAAAATGCGGAAGAGGCAGAGCTCGAAGATACGTTGAATCAAGTGGTGAGTCTGTAAATGTTAGAAACAGAACAGTTATATTTATTTTCATGAATTCCATAAAGAGGAATGAAATATTTTGTGTCAAGGCTATGTTTCGGATCTGTTGGCTGTAGTCTGCAAGTTTTTATGCCCGACGTTTTGTCTACTATTGCAAGACAATGAGATAATGGGATTGCTGGAATCGTCTTTACAGCAGATACTCCATTGAATGTTTGAGTCTTCGGTTTTGTCCCATTGGCGGTGGCCATGGTAGTTTAGTGTAGGTAGTGTATTGTATTGTGTTGTGGTGTGTAGTGTATTGATGTTCGATCTTCTTTTCGATTTGACTCGATTTTGTGTTTCTAATTTCTATCGTCTCCCTAAGTTGTCTTGGATAGTAGCTCTGAGTTCTAACAGGTGCTTCGATTTCTTCAAACGTGATAATGTAGGTATTTTCTCTGAGTGAATGTTCTGCTTCCATTGATTTGTTGGTATGCTCTAGATGACCAAGAAAGAAATTGTCGCTTAGGGCATAAAGACAAATCAGTAGTAGAACATTTACTCAAAGAAGGAAGCCGATTTATCACATTTGAAAAGATCCAAGTGCTTGCAAAGAAATTGTCGCTTAGAGCATAAAGACAAATCAGTAGTAGAACATTTACTCAAAGAAAGAATCCGATTTAACGCATTTGAAAAGATTCAAGTGCTTGCTAGAACTCATTTACTACATAAGACTATATATGGAGGAGATGAAAATACAAAAATAATGATAATTGAAAAGAAAATGAGACTAACATCAGTATACACTCGTAAAGTCGTGTCATTTAATGCTACCAATAGAATTGAAACCACACATACCCCAATGAAACAAAACTGAAGATTCAAACGTCGAATATGCTGCGAGGACAACCTCAGCACTTCGTTTGTTGCCTCATCGCTTATTATAATGTTTATCACAGTTGTAGATGAAACGTCAGGCATAAAACCTGCAGACCATGACAAACAGAAAAAAGCTTTGAAACAGTTACATCCGGTTATGAGAGTTGTAATAGTTCAGAAAAAATAATGAGAAATAAAGTAGCATTTTCTAACATTCAGTACAATAAATATTAGAGAGATGACATTTCAAGTAATAGCTTTACATTGAAATTTAACTTGATTTAATTATTTAAAATGTTCTAAGTGAAATAGGTGAATGTGTGTAATAAAATTGAAAAAAAGGTTTTTTTTTTCAGATGGTTGTATTTAAATATATAGAAGACAAAGATGTTTTTCAAAAATTCTATAGCAAAATGTTGGCCAAACGACTGGTTCAACACATGTCAGCTAGTGATGATGCAGAAGCCTCTATGATCTCAAAGCTTAAACAGGCTTGCGGATTTGAGTATACATCAAAGCTGCAAAGGATGTTTCAGGTAATTTCAATTTTCTAGTTTAATTTATTTATATTACTTTATGGAAGAAATGAAACTGCCGCTATCATTAGTTTCGCATTCAAAAGTTGAAACCTCATTTTTTTTTTAGGACATTGGAGTCTCAAAAGATTTGAATGAACAATTTAGGAATCATTTAGTTAGAATCAACGAATCATTAGGTATAGATTTCAGTATTCAAGTATTATCTTCAGGTTCTTGGCCTTTTCAACAGTCTTTCACGTTTGGTTTGCCTTCCGAGGTAAGTTTTTGAAGATATTTTATCTTTTTTTGTGGACAACTAGTAATGTACACTACTAGTTCTAAACATCTTGCCATGAAATCTATTATAGGGTTATCATATTTGTATCCTGCTCTGAGTTGAATACATGTTCAGCAATGTTGCCAAAAGGACAATTTTTATGAATCGTGAATCATAAAAATGAAATCACAATTTTTGTTTCTTACAAAAAAAGGTCACAGAAGTCCATATAAATGTACAAAAGACACCTATTAGACTAGCCATAACAATACCTATAAGCTACAGCAATACAGATAAAATAAGTATGTATTAAAATAACTACCATCTGTTTATTAATATAAGGAAACAATTTAACAATCAAATTACATAATGAACATGCATTTTCATAAAAAATTCATCTAAAGAATAAAATATGTTTTCTTCCAAGTATTTATGAAGAGCATTCCTGAAGCAATTTAGATTTGACAATTTGTGAGTTGCACCAAAGAGTTCCTTGAAGGGATTATAACAACTGTTACGTTGTTCAACGGGGGTGGAAGAGAAATTTGGTTTTGGAATGAAAGTTAAACCCCCCTTCGGTATATTCCAAAACCGTATTGGTAACAAAAATATTTTTTTCGGTCACTGAAAAGTTTACTCAAATGACCACTCGGCTAGCTCAGCAATTTGGGGGTGAGTATGGAGAATAAATCCACCAAAGGGTGCTGTTCTTGATATTTTACAAAAACTTTATTGAATCTTTAACAGGTTTCAAATAACATACAATGACAAATATCAAGAGAGAATATGCAGTGTTTGTATCAACCCAAAGTGGTTTTGAGGGGTATTTCTCAAAGCAGATTAATGTATATATACATATATATAACAGAAATGCTTCCGTGCCTGTGTGATCACACCTGATTCGAGCACGTTACTTAACAGGAAACAAGTTCAATAAATCTATCAATAATAATTCTAATCTAACACTGAATCATTTACAAAACTCAGTAATCACAAATTTGATACAAATCAAAGTTACACTGACTGATAAGGGCAAAATAACAGTTTGATGCAGCACTTCTTATGAAATAGAGGCAGCAAATCGTATTAAGGCAAGTCTCTAGTACTCGTAAAGCGTTGAGGATGCTAATGATTACGCAATGTATTGTTAAACAAACTGAATCGGTGTCAAGCACAGCTGCGGCAAGCTTTAGGCATTCATAAAGCTATAATAATTGATCAAGTGTGTTTATATGCCGCGGAATGCAGCAGGATACAGCGGAATGCAACAGGATGCAGCGTGCATGCAAGCTCACGATGGTNATTTGGTATGCATGGGATGAGCAAAGCTCTGATACAGTTCAATTAGAGCAAAGGCTCAACAAAGCAGACTCTTCATTAGACGAATTTAATACTATTCAGAATGAGTTAGAATTTTCATTATTAGATGATGATCAAGAGGGTTTGAATGCGGTTCAACAATAATCATTATTGTTTGAAGATATGTATTATAAAATTACAAGTGATGCTCGAAAGTATATTATCTCAAAGGCACAAATTGACATGACCTCATCCAGATCAGTGACATCTCAACTAAACGTCCCAGATGTGTATGTTTAATTACCTGTAGTGAACTTACCGACCTGTAACGGCTCTTACAATGATTGGCTCTTTTTTGAAGATACGTTCAAGTCGGTTATTCACGAAAATACGTCTATTTCGAAAGTTCAGAAATTTCACTATTTAATACTTCATTGAAAGGGGATGCTGTAAATATTAAATCTCTTGAAATATCCGATAATAGTTATGATACTGCATAGACTTGTTTCATCAAAAAATATAAAAATAAATCATTATTGGTCTCAAATTACATTAAAGCTCATTTCATTCTACCATCAGTGCAAAAAGAAACTAGTACCATTTTACGTCAATTGTTAAATGAAATGTCGTTGCATTTGCGCGCTGAATTGGTTACAGATCTATCAACAAATATCTTTTTATACGCGCTTCTTCGCTTTATTGCTAGATGTGGTCGTTGTTCACAAATAGTATCTGACAATGGAACAAATTTTGTCGGCGCTAATAAATATTTTTCGACTATTACGAAGGAGGCTTTCGCTGAAGAAAAATTAAAATTTACTTTTCATCCACCTTATGGTTCTCATTTTGCCGGTCTAGCCGAAGCAGGCATAAAATCAATTAAATCCCATTTGGCTCGCGTCATTGGTAGATTAGATTTAGTTTAGATTAATATGGGGCTTCTGTGCTGAACAGCCACTACACTGCGACCTTTGCAGGTCTATTGTGTGTGCCCTCATGTATGCTAGAGTTCCTTGTCTATGCCCGTTCTTGTAACTAGACTCCATAGGCCAGACCTCAAATTCCCCNGTTCGTAGGGGTGCGACAGGGTTAACGGAAAAACGATTTTAAACAGACAGATCTGTATCTAATTTTCTGGATCTCATGATAATAGCTGTAATGACTATTAGATCACCGTTATTACTCCTCATTATTCGTTCACTATGGTTATTTCAAATGCAACTAGAAAATTACTACAGTTGACTCGCGATAATCTGACACTTTACGGTCTGACACGCTCGGTAGTCCGATGTTGCGCCATATGAGTCATCAGTCAAGTCTAGTCGGTCTTACCTGTGAAACCGGTTCATGTTGTATTATGATTTTAATATTAAATAAATTTCTCTTCCTTTGTAAAAACTAAAGCTTGACTTCATTACATATTATGAATCTTTTCTAGTCAAATATTACATAAAAATTCATCGTTAACTAGATTTCTAAACTTATACACTGCAAATTCAATTAAATAGACCCAATCTTCGGTAATCCGACACCCCCGCGGTCTCGTAGTGTCGGACTATCTCGAGTCAACTGTATTTGAATAACCATCACCAATAACAATGTCAAAATGAACTATTGAAATAACAGTAAAGAACGATTACACAGACATTCCTTTAACAGTGTTGCCACGTGTGGAGTTGCAACGAATTATCCAGAATTATTTGTAAACAAAACGATTTTTAAAGTACATTGCACTAGTTGTTGTAGGGGGCGGGGGTAGGTGTGTGCGCGTATCTATTTGAACCCATAACAATTAATAATAAAAATACTCTGCCTCAATCTAATGAATCAATAATTTATGGCATTGAAAAAGTATATCACCAACCTTTGGGTTACTTGAAAAACATCTCTTCTATTGAATTCTTAAAAAGAAAACATTGAAATATAGGTATCTTTTGGAGTTTCACATGTCTCTTCACTTGAATTTTGATTAAAAATTTTTCATATTACAAGAACTTGAGATAGTTTAGGAAAAAGTCCAATCCAGTATCTACCATAAGCAGACTATTTTTTTGGATTGTGGTACTACTGGAATGAAGCAGTAGGCCAAAAAATTAATTTTGTTGGAAAAAACAAACATTTGAAAAATGTATCCACCACTCTAAATGAAAATTCCGGATCGAATATAATGAAATATATAAGCCAATATTATTATTTCCAGCTGGAGCGAAGTGTTCATAGCTTTACAAACTTTTACTCGGGTCAACATTCAGGCAGGAAACTGAATTGGCTTTATAATATGTCCAAGGGGGAACTGAACACAAATTGTTTCAAGAATAGGTATGTAATGACGATGAACTTTTTTTTTACCATCATTTACCAATTTTGTTCAAGGTATACTCTGCAAGCTAGCACATTTCAAATGGCCATACTACTCCAATATAATTTATCTGATAGTTGGACAGTGGCCCAACTTGAAGACAATACCCAGATCAAAGCCGATTTTCTTGTTCAAGTTTTGCAAATTCTGTTGAAAGCCAAGCTTCTTTCATGTGAGGATGACGACAATGACCTCAGTCCAAACTCGATTATAAATCTTCATTTAGGATATAGAAAGTAAGAAATACTATTTTTTTCCAATCTCTACTAAATGTGTACTTCTATTATAA